TCTTTACATATCTTTTTAAATTATAGCCTATGTGTTATTCTGATATATAAGCTATATTACTGTAAAGTTTAATTAAAATCCGTTCAGTAGTTTTTGCGTGGAAGAGTAACAAACATCCATCTACAAACTCACAACCTTTCTCGTTTATAATACTAGTAAGATAATTATGCTTTTTTTTATTCTCTATTTCTATCTTGCGTCACCTACCACTTTCTGTCTTCTATCTTCTACTTGAATGTTGTCGGGAAGAGATTGATTACACAATAAGATCATCTATTGTTGACTATTGTCTGTTTGACGACCTCGGTGGTACAGCGGTCTAGCACACCGCTTTACGACCGATAGTCGCGGGTTCCATTGCTCGCACGGCACAAACATTTGTATTCATGACTATGATTGTATCGGTCTGGATGTTTTCTATGTATAATATGTATTTACAAAAAAAAATCTATGTATAAGTATCAGTTATCTAGTACCCATAACACAAGCTTTAGCTATCTTAACTTGGGTGTAGATGGCGCTGTGTGAATTGTCCTGAGATTGTTATTATTGTACCACACAACTATTAAACTAATAAGTGTTTTATTGGCCAATAAAGTTTATTATCATTATCCAAAAATTCTCATCTCCCCTCTTAAGGAGAGGAGATGGCATACCCCCGGCAGAAGCACAGTCGGCCGGGGTTCAGGGCCCCAGGGAGAGAAACCGGCGTACAATGCGGGCAGAATCTAACAGCACCGCTTTCTGCATCTTTCCCGGGAGTGAACCGCCCCGGAATCCCAACCGTCTGAGATGTTGTTCCAGACTGGTTGGGATAAGACCGTTCACCGACATAACGATTGGAATGATTTAAGATTTATTATTATTATATATATATATATATTTATTATATCTCCCTTTTTACGGGGGTAATATAGTCAAACACGCGGGCCTTAGCCAAGCATGGATGAGTTATGTGATGAAGATAGAAATTTTCTGACTATTCGGCATGTGTTTAGTATGACGGCTTTTTGTAATAGGTCTATTGTAGAGGAGGGGATGTGCAACGTGTCTAGGTGTTTGTTCAGACTTTTTGGTATAACTCCTGTGGATGACAAAACTATGGGTACTATGTGTATGGTGTGTGCTTTCCATTGTTTTTTTAATTCTATTGCTAGATCTGTGTACTTTGTTAGTTTTTCATTGACTGTGCTTTGTATATTGTGTGTGTTTGGGATGGCTATATCTACAAGATATACTTTTTTATTGATTTTGTCGTGTAATGTTATGTCTGGTCTATTGTGATGTACAGTTTTGTCAGTAATTATTGTTCTATCCCAGTACAGTTTACAGTGATCGTTTTCTAATACATTAATAGGGCTGTATTTGTAATATGGAACTTTGCTTTCTATGAATTTATATTTATGTGCTATATATTGATGTATAATTGTAGCAACTTGATCATGGCGGTGCTTATAATCATTTTGAACTAATGTCTTACAAGCACCCGTGATGTGTTGTATGGTCTCGGTCTCTTATTATTATTATTATTATTATTATTATTAACTCTAACTTATATTCTGCTTCGTCCTCATCCCATTTATTTGAATTCACCTTAATATGTTCTTTATAATTAAAATTAAATACAATAGAATGAAACAACGAAACTGCATTCGAAAATAACACCTCGCTCGTAATTAAAGACTAAATATAAATATTCCGATAAGTTTAATTGCAGCCACTAATTTAGATTACAATTGCAAAGTTATTTCTTTTATACATTTACAAATTGCAGTTCACTTCCCAAGTTCCAAATATAAATGCATCGCTTTGTTCCCTATCTTTTGTTGTTTACAACAATTATTGAAGATAATTTCAATGTTCCAGTGCCGTGGACTGACTCACGTACGCCCTCCGAGACTGCTTACTGCTCAGTACAAATAAACAAGACGTATTAAAAGCATCCTCGAGTGGCGACCACGGACCGGAAGACGCAGCGTGGGAAGGCCTCCAGCAAGGTGGACCGACGATCTGGTCAAGATCGCGGGAAGGCATTGGATGCGAGCAGCGCAGGACCGATCGTCGTGGAGATCTTTCGGGGAGGCCTATGTCCAGCAGTGGACGTCTTCCGGGCTGCGATGATGATGATGATTAAAAGCACTGCGTTGAGAGTGAACCTATATTAAGTGAATTGCCTGATTTGAAGTCGGTTAACAAAACAGCTTGCAGTTTTATACCAAATAATGTCTTATGACTCTAACGCTAAACTAAGCGCAATTATATACATACAGACATATGATATTCAAGCTGAATGGTTTTTTTTCCGGACTACTCTAATGCTGTTGGCCGCAGCTGGCTTTACCGGACGATAAGGGGCGAGTGCAAATGGTACTCCAAACCCGCGGAAGGACTTATGGAGCGGCTGAAGGCCAACTCCCGGCTGACGGATACGACTTTAGTCTGAGGGCACCGCTAGGGATTCCAACCTAGGTTCAGGCCGTCGTAATTTCGATCCCCGTTTGAATTGGACGGGGAAGCTAAATTGATGTAATGTAGACTATTACCCTATTGCTATGAATGTACTACCTCATGTTGACCTCCACGCGGTTACTCCTGGAAACTGTGATAAATTCCTGGTGAATTTGTCATAATGGGCTAACTGAACTGATCTCATGCTCATCTTTACTGGTGCCCCGCCAGCGAGAACCGTTAGCGCAGGCGGGTATACTCCATTACTAACAATTTAAAAAAAAATTTAATAACTCACATAACGCTATCTGAGCTAAAACTAATGAGACCTTGCTTGTGGGGATTGGTCTGTTCGGGTTACGAACACTGCACAACAACAATTAGACTGTTTGCTTTTACAATAGCATAAGCTGGTGGTCACTCTATTCTCCCAAATTTGAATTTAAATAAATCTGTATTATTGTAAACATGTTCAACATTTATTTGAAAAGAATACGAGCTGAGTTTCTTGTCAGTTCTTCTCATCTCGAACTCATTCCGAACTGACGGCAGATTTGACATATCATAAGAGTCTGTAATAGACCTACATGAATAAAGATATTTTGAATTTGAATTTGACTTGTGTTCTAAGTACTAGACAACTGATATAAATACTTAAAAACATTTTTAAACTAATACAAATGTATTTCTTATATACAACCATGAGTTTCAGGAATACAAATCGAATGGAACCCGTGGACTCAATCACAAGACCAAAGAGGTCGACAAATGTAGACTCAGTGGCAACTTTCATACTGATTTACCATCAGGCGGAACGTATTCTTCATTCCCTTCATATATAAAAAAAAACTTGTATTAGCTAATCGGGTAAATCTCAAAAGATTCATTCGTGTACTTAAAAGTCTGTCGATCATAGACGTTCCAGAAAAAATATCAAAACCCTAATAAAATTTTTGTTATTACCTTCACCTATTTTTGACCCAAAAACCTAAAGCGGACTTTTGGGTTGGGAAAACCAGCAGGCAAAACTAGTTATAGACACCCCTCGCAGCGGGTCTTTCACCCCTTCGTCTATCTCTCTCACTCCTATAGGTACGTCGACAGATCTCACGCGTCCTGACTAGAGTCACGTAGGCAAACCTGAGCACTGGACTAAATACCATTGTCTATATATGACACTAATGTTATAAATAGGACACACTTGAGAACTTGTCACTAGAGAAGCTAAAATCCATACTAATAAAATAATTTAATATATATCTAATCTATACATATAAATAAAATTGGAGTGCCTATTTGTAATATTGAAATAACCGTTTCTACTACATGCATATGAATATAAATACGGTACATACACCAAAATAACATTTTCTATCATTTTGTCTGTCTGTCTGTTTGTTCCGGCTAATCTCTGAAATGGTTGTACCGATTTTGACGCGAATTTTTTTGGCAGGTAGCTAATGTAATGTGGAGTAAATTAGGCTACTTTTATTTTAGAAAATTAAAGTTAAATACAATGGGGACGAAGTCGCGGGTACAGCTAGTGTAATATATATCTATAGTTTCAATTTCTTAATAATTACGTGAATTAGATATTGTTATTATATATAGAATATTATAATTATATAGAAATTGAGCAGCAACCAGAGGAGAAGAGAGGAGGGCTCGTCCTCCTCTCTTCTCATCCGGTTGCTGCCCAATAGGGTTCATAATTCATCTACTTTGAATTATAACTGTCTATCTATCTACTCTAAAATTATGGAATGCAAAGCTTAAATAAATAGCAAATTATATATACTATTATTAATCATTATCATATGCATGTAGTAAAAACGGTTATTTCAATATCACGAACAGACACTACAATTTTATTTATATTTATAGATTACAGATTATAGATAAGAATCTGTCTGTCTATCTCCTATACATAAATTAAACCACTACAAAGAAAAAAAATCATATCAATTCTTCTTTATTTATATGCAGTAAACATTTAAAAATTCTTAATGGTGTGTATTTATGTTTGTTATTTAATCTATGAATCGATTGATTTTGTGAAGCATTGTCTGTAGGAAATTGAATTAAATTTCTACATTGAACTTTTAGATACTTTAATGGAAGTCAAAAAAGAAGTGAACCATTAGTCTGTAATTATCTTTAATACAGCACAAATATATTACAAGGAATGTACCGTTAACATAAGTTTTACACAGTTTAATAACCTTATTAACCTGTTTTTGTAAAACTAGTAGTATATATCAATGAATGACTTGAAAGAAATAAAAGATAACATTACCTTTTGCCTATAAAAGGTGATGTTATCTTTTATTTCTTTCAAGACATTCATTGATATATACTACTAGTTTTACAAAAACAGTTGCTTATAGCTAATGGAGATGTATAAGCAGGTATAGATAAATATAATGTCTAATTTTATGAATAAAGATGACCTATAGAATATTAAACAAAATCGACAGATTGTAAAGGTTACTGAAAACTAAATTCGAGAAAATATGGCACAATAGAGTTACTGAACTTTGTTATTGACGAAAGTATGGAAGGAAATAGAGGAACACATGAAATCAATACCAAACACACTAAAGTAACAGTCGTGTTGTATTAACATTTTAAAACAACTGCTGTAAGTAGTATGAGCTCCATCTAAAAGAGTACAGTACTAACTTTACGAACCGATGTTTCTTTTTTATTGAATAGAGATAAACGAATTTACAGATCACCTGATGGTAAGTGATTACCGCCGCCCATGAGCATCCACAACACCAGAAGAATTGTAAGTGTGTTCCAAGCCTTTTTAGAAAAACTAAACTCTTTTCTTGAAGGATTCCATATCGTATCTGTTCAGAAATACCATTACTAGAAGGTGGTTTCTCAATGGTTGTGTGTAGCAAAAAGTTTAAAGGAAAAACGCATGGTGAAGGAGCGCCATACACGCAGATGCTCAGAATGATAAAATTATTTTTTTAAAATCTTTGTTTATTAAACTGTATCACCATGAAGAATCACATCTAGGAAGTATCATTGTTATTCAAAATCGAAGATGTGATAAGATTCACAATTCTAGGTTGCAGCGATATAGCTTTCTTCCGAGGCATCGATTTCAATAGCGAAGCCACGTATCTTCCAAAAGTATCGAAGGAATCATTAGTATTCACGTCAGTAGAATGAGAAGGTAATCCGTCTATGTGTATTATATCTGATATATTCGAATCTAAACTTCTTTTTGATGCATTTCCAACAGAATTTTCAGAGTTATCATCATAGTCACTTATATCGTCATTATTTGATTCCGGAACAGGCATTGAATCTTCCTCTATCTCATTAGCCCACGAGAAATCGTCGTAGTCATAACGTTTTTTCAACTCTTTGCAGATCGCTTCATTGTTTATAACCTGCAAGAGTTATATATCAGTATATGCATTATGTAAATTTTATTTAAACTTGGGAGTCAAGTCTCGAAATAAAAATCTTATCGTGCAGTTAGTTTTAATAGGGTTTTACTGTATATTGTGGCCAAATTGGATAATTTTTAAATTTTCGCCAATGTAACTAGATGGCATGCATGCAATTGACATAATAAAATTCAAATACAAAATAAAATAAGTATAGAAAACGATTTATAGTTATAATACGCTATTACATAGTTATAACACTTATATGGAAGAGTGGAGTCTCTTAGTGCAGGCATTTTTAGGCGTAAAATGAGTCTTAAAAACTGTGTTTGCGAATCTAAGAATTTTTAATTTAGAACATCACGGACGAGGCATTTCGGGACGTGGATGGTATTCGTGGTTCCATGGGCATCATATGATGATATGACATCCATGAAAACTCTCATACAATGCTCTTCCAAAGGATTATGATCCCATGCCTCCATACCCTGTATTTCACCGCCAATATTTAACCTACTCAACCCTTCTACAGAAATTTACCTAAACTTTCGCTACAGAATTTGAAGAAATACTACCCACGTAGATAACTTTGTAAAAAAAAAAAACAAATAACAAACATTATTGTTTCGGTTCTAATAATTTATTGTATTATCATTTTTGTATAAAAGGACACAATGAAATCATTAAATACATGCATACAATGGCGGAATTATCCCAAAAACAGACATTTCTCCCAGTGAACCCTTGAAGGACTGGAAAGAATAAATTTTATTGTGTTTTTGAAATATCTTCCAATTGTCAATCTATCTGTTAGCGTCCAAGAATTAAAGTCATGAATGCTGTTATTTAAATCAGACAATAGGTATATGATTAAGTTTAAAATATTGTTTTTTTAATAAACAATATCTTTATCAAACACTACAAGCAGACATCCAACAATAATTATGACCTGAGGCCAATAAATTCCTTGATTATTTATTACTGTAATCTTGTTCTTTTACTGACACGTTTTTATCTCGATTTGTGGCGGGACTCTTTTCATTTGTTTTATTAATCTGGACTGATGATCCCATTGCTAGCAATGTACCATGTTAAGTTGACCTACACTCTGACTAGGCCTGCCCTCATTTTATATGTTATCATCATTCACTGGTGCCCCAGCATTAACTGTTAGCGAATGCGGATGTACCACTTTATCATCCATTAAAAATATAGTCTAGATTTGTTTTGTATATTCTATTTGTGAAAGTTAGTGTCTTTGTCTGTTTTATTAATTATTACATTTCTAATGATCCTGATTTTCCTGTAATAAATAAATCTTCATACCGGAAGGTACGAAGATTTATTTATTACAGGAAGAGAAACAGGAAGTACGCAGAAATAATAAATAACTGAATATTATGTCCAGCATCAAGGTCAGAAGGGAGAAGCATGAATGACGCCAATACTTCCACCTACCAAATTCGTAGTGATCATTTACAGGCAGGCTATATGGTTGATTGTCACGGTACTAAAAAAGAAATTAAAGAACCTACTCACCACTGGAGAATTAGCAAAGTGTATTAAATTCTTATATAGGTGTGGTCGCAGAAAGGAATCAATTTTTGTAAACCACACTGCTTTCGGGATGTACGCTGTGGTACAGTCACCTCTACCATTATGACCTGTTGCTAATTTTTTCAATCCCTGGCAGTAAGAATTTCTTATATTTCTAAACTTAGCGATCACGTGGTAGGCTTCAAAATCTTTGATGTTCAATCTCCGGGCTATATTCTCGGCTGCTCTCGCTCTCTTCTCCTTATTCTTGTAGTCGTCCAAGGTCGTGTTCCACAAGCATTCCTCTTTCTCATACAGATCTAAGAGCATCATAGTCTGTTCGTCACTGATTTTCATTATGGAGTTTTGTGATCTCTCCGTTGAGTTCATTTTCGCTTGATTCTTTTAGTTCGATGGATTGTACGCGCGTGACGATCGAACGTGCGTCTGATCTAGTAGCGTGGCCACGCTTTACTGAGAGCGAGACGGCAGACAACGTCTGTGCAGGACGGCAACAGCGCGCCTGCACCGACTCGAGCGTCACACGACATTCTTTTTTTTAATATCTATTTTTACGGCCCTGGAATTATCCTCACTATAACAATAATAAAAAAAAATTAGAATAACATTTATTTAAAGATATTTATTAGAACCGAATTTTCGAATAGATAAACATATAGTAAACAGATACTGTTGCAACGAGCTATCTTTTTTAATATGACCGTCTCGCTGATCTAGCGGTTTAGAACACCGCTTTGCTTCTGATGGTCGCAGGTTCGATATTGTATGAAAAAAATAGTTTCCATCAGCCTTGATTGATTGAAACTATTTTAGTCTTCTATGTATATAATGTACGTACGAGTATGTATTTAAAAAACAAAATGCATTTAAGTTTGTTTGTAATACTTTATTATATAGCAATAACACTTACTATGAAAAATCTTAAGCAAAAAATGGTACAATAGCGGATTTATCCCAAATGAACTATTTCTTCCAGTCAACCTCAAATCAAAGTCAAAATTTGTATTTTTTTTTTATAACACAGGGGACAAACGAGCATGCGGCTCACCTGATGGTAAGTGATTACCGCCGCCCACGAGCACCCGGTGAATTGCAAGTACGTTGTCGCCCTTTTAAAAAGGATATTATTTTCTGCGAAGCTGCAGAGGAAACCACTACACATCCTATGTGGTTGTAGCCCACTCATGCTTAAACGAAATATCTCCTTTGGAAAGTTTACACTCTATCCCGAGGAGATAAAAACCATCGCTCCTAAGAATATCCTTCAATTCTTGTCCCTGACGGGTCTAGGTAACGAACTCTGAAAGAGGGCGAGCACAATAGATCTATGCAGGTCGCAGTGCTACAGGTCTTAGTACCTGACAATAGCCCAAAACCCATAATAAAAAAAATATATTAGGATGTGTATATTTTTACTAATATTATATATGTGAAAGTATTGTTATGCTTTCACGCAAAAACTACTGAACCGACCATCATGAATATTTTCACATGTTCTTGGAGGTATTTGACTGAACATACGATACTGATCTCCGATACTTACATACATTCAATGCGAGCAAAGCCGCGTGTAAAATAATAATAATAATAAAAATAAAAAATTGAAATAACCGTTTTTTACTACATGCATATGAATATAAATACGGTACATACACCAAAATAACAGTTTATACAATTTATGTCTGTCTGTCTGTTTGTTCGGGCTAATCTCTGAAATGGCTAGACCGATTTTGACGGGCTTTTTCTGGCAGATAGCTGATCTAATAAGGAGTAACTTGGACTACTTTTATTTTAGAAAAATAAAGCTAAATTTCACGCGGACGAAGTCGCGGGAACAGCTAGTATAAAATATATTTATTATTATTGTTTTAGAAGTATACGAAGTGCAAGCAAAGCATTGCGTCAGCTAGTGGCGTGATATGACGACAGCGAGTTGAATGCACTCCAATTATACCTCTAGGTCCTTCACATAAGGTGCATAATGATATTGCACAATACAATCAACATTATGTGCAATAGAAATTGACCTCTATCGCCTTAGAAATACGAGTGAACATATCGAGTATAGACAAAGCCGCCACTGAGTCTACCGGACCAATGTTCTTGAAAGTCGTTTCACACTGGATAAAATTGATAAGATAGTAGTTTTTGTCGTGTTTACTCAGTGAGTACTTAGAAATGTTGAGTGTGTTATTTATATAAGATTCTAGAAAGATCCAGCAAACATTTGGTAGGTTCGAACCTAAGTGGTCTCGGACAGTGCGGTTTCAGAGGAACTTCCTCCCGCGTACACTTAGATTGTGGAATGAACTTCCTGCCGAGGTTTTCCCACGAGACTACAGCATTGTTCAAGAAGGGTATATTAAGGTTTCATAAGGGTCGGCAACGCGCACGAGACACCCCTGGTGTTTCAGGCGTCCATATGCTACGGTAACCATTTACCATCAAATGGGCCGTATGCTTGTTTGCCACCATAGTAGTATAAAAAAAAACAATATCGCACATTCAACCGGGCGCCTGCGCACGCCCGGGCGCTCCACACCGGCGCCCCCGGGCGCACCTCCGATCGATCCCCCGTCCAATTCAAACGGGGATCGAAATTACGACGGCCTGAGCCGAGGTTCGAACCCCTAGTGGTGCCCTCAGACTAAACTCGTATCCGTCAGGCAGGAGTTGGCCTTCAGCCGCTCCATAAGTCCTTCCGCGGGTTTGGAGTGCCATCTGCACTCGCCCCCTAACGTTCGGTGAAGCTGTAAAGGCCAGCTACGGCCAACAGCATTAGAGTAGTCCGAAAAAAGTAGTATAAAAAAAAAGGAATTAAGTGAGGTAGACTGTATAAAGTAGTTTGCTTGGGTAACTTTCGATATTTGTGTTACCAAGTTAATTTTGTTTGAATACGTACAGAACATATAAATAAACTTACTATACTTATACTAGAATTACCCTAAAATAAATCATTTTTACTGAGCAAAGACTATTTACTCACTAGACGATTACTTGAATGACGAGCGTGCATGGCAGTAGTTGATCATACACGTGATTGTCATGTAACGTTAGACATAGACATCAATATACATTATAAATGGCATTTAAAAAAAAGTAGTTCAATTGAGTTTCTTGACAGTTCTTCTCAATTGGATCTATATACTGAAATGGACGCTAGAGAAATAGTTATAATATAAAAAATTTGACGTTCATAAGCGGTTAAAATGTCCTACATGAATAAATGATTGTTTAATTTCAATTAGAAACACACACACACACACACTCTTTTACAGTAGAAACAAATTCTTAATATAATAATAAATAACCCTAGAAGAGCGTGATCTCCTATCACAAGTATTTAATTATGCTTACAAGGAGATCCCAGCCCCGGCTTAAGGAAATATATAAATAAGAATATGTGATTGTTGATATGTAAAAAAAAAAATTGTAAAACATCTATTTTAATGAAATAAATTATTATTAAATTATTAAATTAAATTAAATTAGAATTGAACCTAGGACTTCAAATATTAATAGCACGCATATAACTTTGAATATAATACATCTCAGGACAATTCACGCAACGTCATCTAGTCCCAAGCAAGGCAGAGCCTGTGTTATGGGTACTAAACAACTGATATTAATGCAAAGAATTTTTTTTTGTAAGTACATACATATTATTCATAGAAAACACCCAATCTGATACAAGCAGTCATACTCATGAATACAAGTTTTTATTCGTGGAAGGAATCGAACCCGCGACCATCGGACGTAAAGCGGTGTGCTAGACCGCTAGACCACCGAGGTCGACCACCGACGCATTGCTGCGGCTAAGGTTCTTGAATAAAACAATATAACGACTATAAATTGAGATGTAAGCTATTCTATATACAAGTTAGATTCAATTACACACAATGTGCAAATCAAATTTGCAATCGGTTCAGTAGTTTAGGAGTCTATCACGGACAAATAAAGTGACACGTAATTTTTATATATAAAGATATATATAAATAGCAGAAAAATAGACACAAACAATCATGGTTATTACAAATGTTACCAAAGATAGTCGATGTGCTAATCCGCTGTACAACCGAAGCAGTCAAAAATGTTTATTCACTTATATAATGGTGTACCAGTATATTTATCTTAATCCTTTAAAGATTACACTTGTAATTACTCTATATGACCTTCCCAATAACGATATCAAATCCGCGCACAAACTCCAAGACTTCGACTTTGCACAAAGTCATTTACAAGAACTTCATACAAAGATTGTTTTTTTATATATATTATATATACATATATATATTTATATGACGACCTCGGTATTCTAGCGGTCTAGCACACCGGTATACGACCGATGGTCGCGGGTTCGATTCCTCGCACGGCACAAACATTTTTATTCATGAGTATGATTGTTTGTATTGGTCTGCGTGTTTTCTATATATCATATATACGTATTTACAAAAAAAAATCTATGTATATGTATCAGTTATCTAGTACCCATAACACAAGCGTCAGCTAGCTTAACTTGGGTTTAGATGGCGCTGTGTGAATTTTTTTTTGACAATTCACACACGCCATCTATTCCCAAGCTAAGCAGAGCTTGTGTTATAGGTACTAGACAACTGATATAAATACATGGATACATTTTTTTTGTAAATAAACACATATTATACATAGAAAACACTCAGACCGATACAAACAATCATACTCATGAATACAAATGTTTGTACCGTGCGAGGAATCGAACCCACGACCATCGGATACTAAAGCGGTGTGCTAAACCACTAGACCACCGAGGCTGTCAAGAATTGTCCTGAGATTATTATTAATTAAAGCAATTCTCACAATTAGTGTATTTGGCACATTACGTGTTATTTCAACAAGCGTTATCACTTCTTATCAACAATATGGTTCGAGTGTCTGTCTGATATACATTCTGAGATATAATACAAGACCCGCTATAGCAAATAATCAACCAGTGAACTGTGTGACTGTATGTTATATTGTATATCCCTGAATTTGTGAATGATAACACAATATCGATTAGCATTAAGTAAATATTTTTATCATCAGCTCGTGACCCGCCCTGGCTATAATAATATTTATTTATTGCCAGAAAAAAGAATAGAATAGAAAACAGAAAAATCCTTTATTCAAATTAATTAAACTTAAACACTTTAATAGAAACATAGTCACAGTTATCCTTTAACAAGAAGAATGAAGAATGAGTGTGAATATAAACTACCAACTAACAATAATGCAATTAAATAGTCAAATAGAGAACATAATATTTATTTATTGCCAGAAAAAACACATATAAACATATATTTGCTTGCGTACACACTTTACTTAAAGAAAAATTAAAAAGAAATTAACTACTAAGGACTAGAAATTAACAGAAACAGTCCGATCGATCCCCCGTCCAATTCGAACGGGGATCGAAATTACGAAGGCCCGAGCCGAGGTTCGAACCCCTAGCGGT